AGACCCAGAGGTCCCATGTCCCTTTTTGTTTGTGACCATAGGACAGATAGTGGGATGGAGCTGGATAGTGTCAGCCCAGCTTCCCACACCACTGGTTGTAGACGCCTCTAAAAACCCCATGGTATGGACTCAGGACCTGACCGTGCTTATTCATTCAAGCAACCTTCTGAAGAACTCATCAGACCTATTTTGTGTACTATAATTAGGGACAAATCTTTTGCTCATTTGCCCTGTAGACACTGCTAACTGAAGCTGCCTCAGAACAACCAGATTTCTTTCTGCTCTGTATAAAGTAAGCATGAAATTTATCACTAGATTCAGATGGGGCAGAAACTAGCAGTAACATCAGTGTGGTTTGTGCAATCCTGCTTGTTGCCCAAGAACAAGACAGCATTGATTATTTTACAAGACAAGTTACATTTGAGGAAGTAAAGATTAGATTAAAAAATTACATGCCTTGGGGCGGGTGAATAGCAGCACAAATCTGTTTGATGTTTGTGTCAACAAGGTTGCCAGAGCAAACAGCATGAACATCTGTCTGTAGCATCGACTGGAAAAGACTGTAAATGGGAAAATACTTTAATTGTAAGCAGTGGTTCACAGAGCTCCCCATGTCTTTATTTATTAGGATGATAATATCACCCCAACATATGAACTTTATGCAGCACATATAAATAATTCATGGATCAGCAAATAAAGAGATCTGGAGTCCATACACAGAGATGGCTGTTGCCAATTATCTCACTTGTGCAGAGCCAGACCCTCTCAGCTCCCATTGCTTGCAGCTGCTCTTTTAAATCATTCATCAGTGCTTAAGAGATATGCTGGTGGCGCTGGCAGAGAGTATTTGAATTTTCATTGTTTACACACTGTGAATTTAGCTTCTGGTCTGAAATTATCTGCCACAGTGAAGCCTTTGAGAATATGGATGAGAAGAATAAGACAATTCCTCTCTTTATCCTTTTTTAACACTTCTATAACTTTGATTACTTTCTTTTGCAATTTTACTTCATTTTTTTAATAATCACTACTTTCATTTCAAAGTTATAGCTGATATAATTCCCTGTGCTGTTTAGATCATGAAAACATCAGGAATACTTAGGAATATTCTCTTAAAAGTATTACAAAACAAATGTCTGGTAAATATTTTGTTCAAAGTTGTATGGTTTTCAGGTTTTATTCTGGAAATCTATAATTTGCCACCTAAATATATAGAGTTGCTTCTTTCTGATGTATTTAAGCAGAACCCTCTTGGAAATAATAATGAAAGCTGCTTAAAAAATTGATGACAAGCCATGGCCAATGCTTTTTTCTTGTCAAATTACTTAGGCAGTGAGTTTCTGTGATTCTTTCAGATCATGGTGGGGAGCATTTCCTGGATGATAAATTTGTCCGTGTCATTATAGTGATATGGCTTAATTCACTTCTAGCATGGATAATGACGGTAAGGTTTTTGAAAGTCAGAGGCCTCATCATAAAGCCAGATTTTTAGTTGCATTAATTGAAAATCAAATTCAAGTAAGTAAAGATTTATTCAGTGTTATTAACTATGCACCTCTCAGAATTTCTCCTATGAATAGTTTTGCTTCTTTCTCTTAAGCTATAAGTAAAGCAGCAGTATTAAAACAGTTGTCAGATTACTGGAGTTAGCTGGAGCCATGCTGGAGCAGAGGGTAGGGGAGGGGAGCAGAGCCTGCAAGCAAGGTGAGGGTGCTCCAGTGTGCCCCATCCTGCTGCTGCCAGAGGGATAAAGAGAGAGATAACAGGGTTATAGAGCCCATATGGTGCCACCCAACAGGCTAAAAAAATTAGGGAAGGGACCAGGAATGCTAAGTTCCACACCTTGGGGTGTATCACAGCCCTGCTTGTAACTGCCTCCATGCAGCTGGGGTTGAGGGAAGAAATCTGACCATCATCACCCCCTTGTCATGCAGGAAAGTGGCCTGCCCATGGTTTTGGGAATAGTCACCTTAGTTATGGAGTGTGTGCTGGGCTTCTCTTACCTTTTCACATCAGGGGCAAAACAGCTCGGTCTCTGCTTTACTTTCTTAAAGTAGAGCACTTTGGGTTTTATTCTGCCAGGAGCACAAGGAAATACTTAAATCCAGCTTCATCTGATGCTCACATGTGCTCAGGGCCTCCGTAAGCAAGAGGCAGAGCACTTGCAAAGTTTCCGAGGGGAATGGATAAACACAGACACTCCACAGAACTGATTAAAGAGCAGAAGCAGCAAAATGTGCTGGGGCTCAGGAGTCCCAATCAAAGCCCATTTGGAAGGGCTCTGGAGAGAGGAGGCAGGGAGCAGAGGATGTCCTCACTCTGCTTCTGTCAGCTCCCAGCAGTTCAGTGAACAAATTAGGTTTCACTCTCAGATTCGCAAATGACAGTGGATGACATTTACCAGATGGCATGTGTAATGGGTCTGTCACACCGTTATAGGTTTAAAAATAAAGTATGGGAGGCAGATAATGAACATACTCTTCCTAATTTCAATAATTTTGTTCTATCCCTGTCAGGCGTTAGGCACTCGACTTGTGAGTGTTGAAAGACTTTCGATGTTTGTGTATTAAAAGAAATAGTCTAGCATGTAACTGGGCTAGTTTACTTTAGAAATTGGCATGGAAATTAGCAATTTAAATAATTCCTAAAAAAAAGTTATTTTTTCCTCTTTATGACTTTCAGCCTGCTCACAAGTGAGATGAGTTGTTTAACTGGAATGTCATCATTGGGATATTTAATATTGAGAATGATCTTTCACGCAAACCTGATGATTCTACTCTAGATTTCTGTCTTTATCATTTTTCCTCATTTGTTGAAAAATACAAATTGAGCAATTCAAAAGTCTACTTTTTTGAGGATACTGATGCATATTTTAAATTATTTTTATTTGAAATTACCTAAACCTGAATATCTTTGTATGGGATCTCACTTTAAAATATTGCTTTTGGGAGATGACAGTAAAGTAATGAGAGACTAAGGAAACATAATATATAATACATGGAATTTTCTAAACTACTTACTGGATTTTTTCTTTATTTATTAGAGTCTCACAGTTTGTCCAGTGCAAACACAAAAAGAAAAAATAAATTTGAATATAAAAGGATTTTATGCATTGTATTTCTCTCTTTATCCCTTTCTTTTTGTTAGACATTTTTGTGTTAATTAAAGGACTGCTGTAGCTCTGATTGAAGTCATTTGGGAGGATTTCTTTTCTTTTCAGTGATTATTTTATCATGCCCATGATGAATTGTTTATTAGGTTTGTTGGTTTTACAGCAGACTGGCTTCTAGGACTGCAGGGAAAAAGAAAGGCAGATTTATAAATAAATCCGGTCAGCATATCAATGTATATTGGTAGTAGAAAGGTAAATTCAGCTAAATCCTGGTGAGTAAAAAGCAGATTTCCTCTGTGCATTATACTCACTTAGCTGCATTCTAAGAAAATTGTGCAAACTAAGGAATCAGATTGTTAATGAAGAAAATTCTCAATTAATAGGAAACAAAAGTCAGGGTGCCATATCAGTCAGCTTAATTATAAATAAAACCTTTCCTGCCTGTTGTCTGTATAGGTAAGATCTACACTAAGCACTCCCGATCGTATGCAATGGGATCTCCTTTCTTGGCAGCATGGGGAGCACCGTTGACACAATTATAGTGCTGTAAAGTCTTTCTTGCTCTCAGGAACTTATTTCACCCACCAAACTAGTATGGATAGCTCACTTCTGGTTTTTTCACCATTTGTGTGCATACTGTCAGCTACAGCATTTCAGGGGTATTTTTTCCACCAGCTCTACACAAATTGCTGATGCACATGACTGGTGATCATGCAGGATTTGCTTGTAGTTTGAAGGGCTCAAGACATCTTAAAGGGGCTTGAATCTCAGTGAAGATCAAGCCTCTTTAAGCTGTCTTAATTTTGGAGCTTAAAAAATATTGGGTTTTTGATAGTCAATGTAGTTCAGCAGCAGGTTTCCCCTCCGTGCCAACAGGGCATACAGATGATCTTTCCCCCAACTGGTCAAGCTTGCTGCTGCTGCATCATATTGCATGGAAGAGAACAGGAAGGAAAGTAAGAACCACTGTTTCTGAGGTTAAGGACTAACCATTTCATCATTGCCGTACTTTTTCCACATTCCTGAGCAGTATTGTCAAACTCATTGGAAAAGCTACAAGCAGATACAGTAGTGACATACAAATGGCTGTGCTGGGTCAGGAGGAAGCTCATCTTGGCCCAGCGTTGTGTCTCCAAGAGCGGTCAGCAGATGATAATTGAAAGGCAGAGAGAAAGAAGCTGTAATCTCATGTACCATCCCATTTTTCTATCAGTCAGCCACTTGGTGACTTTCTGAACCAGAAGTTGAATCCAGACCACTGTGCTAAAGACTATAACATCCTACAGCACCCCATGGTGAAGACTATAGCATCCTTGAGACTGTAGCATACTATGACAATGAATTCTGTGGTTCACTCGTGCATTGAATAGTAACAACAATCCTCTTTGTATAATGTTGACTGATTTCAATATCCACATGCTGAATTTTAAGACGCCATATGTGGTCTTTTTCAGTGTAAGAGCCAAATTGATGTTTATTTCTTTTAAAAACAAAACAAAAAAAACACACAAAAAAATTTGCAAAACAGCAACAGTTATCCATAGCATACAAAATGTAAATGCTTTGTGCTGTGTTGTTTGGGTGTCGTTAGAATAATTTTAAAAGCAAGTGATTTAATTGTGTTTGCGCTAATTATAATGTTTACAAATTAGGGAAAGATGCATTTAGTGGTCCGTTGGGAAAGGGCTTTGAAACCTCACATGTCTTCAAGTCTACAGTACTGTCATTTATTCATAGACTCTTTCTAATACCAGGGTGATTTGCTTTTTAGATTACTCTTGCATGGAAAGCAAGTCTCAGGAGTCTTCAGCTCCACAGAATTCAAAACCAGGTTCACGTGTGTGCGTCAATAGATATTTAACCAAGTTCTTTTCTTCTTCTTTTCAAGGTCCCCGAGTCCCGATGGTGACTGTTCACAACACAGCGGATGCACAGAGTAAGAATGGGCTTAAGCGTTGCAATTCTTCAGAGAAAAGTAGCCAGGCAGGACAGTGAGATGTGTCTGCTATTGGGTAAATTTACCCTTGTAGAGAGCCCAAACCGCCTCAATGCAAGTCTTCTGCAAATCAAAGGGACTCGCAGAGCTGTTGTGCTGCCATCACAAGAGCTTGCTGTTTGGGGTACCAACAGAGTAGTTTGGGCGTGACATTTGTTATCAGTTTTCTCAAAAAAAATTCCACAGTCCAGATCTCTTTCTCTCTTTTTGTTAGTTTTCCACAAATTTTGTATTATGTCCCACTCAAAAATAAAAACTATCTAGCTTAATCTATGGCTTTAATAAAGTGACTCTGATATGGATTGCCAGGTTGAGAGATAATGCAGAGGGGTGAACCTCACAAGTTGTACCTCTGCCTGGTTTCCATATCTGTTCATGGGGATTGAAGAATTTATTGTTTAGTGAGGCTTTTTGACACCAGTGTGAAGCTGGAATTACTCCAAATACAGGCTTCTTCCCTCAAAATCTTTTGTACTGGCTGTAGCCGTTACCGGACTGATTAGGACTCCCTGTAGAGCCCAGAAACCTGGATTTCTGGGCTTCCCCCTTCACACCTGCAGCAATACAAATTCTCCAGAAAGATCCATTTTTATACCCCAAGGTAAGGAGCCTTAGATAGACAACCTTCCTCTGTCCCTTCTCTACAGGGCTCTTAAACCGAGGTGTCCCTTTCTCTCTTTCATGAGTCTCAGGAGACTTCATAGCGGAGTGTGGGACTGAGTCTCAGATGAAACCAATATTTATCTGTTCCCATCGTTTTGATGGGAGACCCTTATCTTTCATTCTAATGTGGAGTTTAGCCCAGCTTTCACCTGCAGCTAAAGACTTCAGGTACTGCAGTGATCCAAATAGTAAACAACGTATTTATTCCAGCTGCTCTGTATATGGCCAATATCAGTTTATCAGGTATCAGTTTCTCTTAACTGGATTTACAGCAACTCAGTGCTGTTGTTTCTGCAAAGGAGAAGAGCAAACCAGGGAATTTGGCTCCCAAACTAAAAGTTTTCTGTGAAATGCTGAGCTGCTTCATTTCCTCACTGAAGGTGTTAAGTGTCAAAGGAAAAACTCCTGTGGCACCATAACATTTAAGAAAAAGGCACAAGATCCATCTTGCTTTATAAGGTTTCTGTGTGTTCCCTGTTTTATTCCCTGTTTTCTCAATTTCTGTTGACAACATGCACTGCAAGCCCTGACCTTGCCTAGAAGAGGTTTGCTTCTAAGCAGAATGTGTAGAGTGAGATCCCAAGTTCTGATTGAATTTTTAAAATCAGATTTAAAATCAAATTTGAGGCATATTGTATCCTTTGCTGTTAAAATAGAAATCCTCAGCAGTGTTCCAGCTAGTGTTAGCAGTGTCAATACTGTTAAGGTAATATGTTGTACATTTAACTCTTAATTTATCCTCCCATCCTTTTCAATTAATTTATTCCAATTAAAATGTTCCTTAGCAGAGAAAGACATGCATAAAATTTAGCAGCGTGCTAGAACAAGTTAAGTTAAAGCAATGTACAGCTATGCAACTGTCCTGTCAGTGCAAAGCATCACAGCGCACCCTGGACCATGGCTTAGACCATCTGCCATCACAGGGCCAGGAGGGTTTCTTAGCTTTGACCAGCAGCTCCAAAGTCGCTTTCTTTTTTCCCCGTTAAACACAGTACCTTAATTTTGTCACATTCAAGGAGATGGCTGACTGGCTGTAACAGCCTGTACAGGAGAGTGCTCTCATGAGCTGTGCTATAGCCTCCTGTGTAGTTTCACGAAATATGTTAGATGAAGAAAATGAGAGGTTCTATAAAACAGGCACAGCAAATAAAGGGATTGAAGAAGTAACATAAAACACACCAAGACTAGTTTTATTTTGACAGCTATATATGTGTAGCATTTATTACATAGAGAACTTGATCTAGGAAGGCACAGAACACCTCCGTTACTGAAATTCGTGATTTTCTGCATATGATTATCATTTCCCCTGTTTCCATTTTGATTCCCCTCATTCTTTTGGTTTTGCATAAAGGGCAACTGGCAGTTGAATGTTACTGAATTTACTTATTTAATATGAGCCCATTATTCTATAAAGGGAGTTTGCCTCTATTCTGCAATAATCTGATAATAGTGAGTTGCACTGAATATTATAGCGTGCTTACATTTAATTAAGCAATGACCATTTGTACTCCACAGACTCAAGCTCCCTGTGGTCCTAAAGCAGAAAAGAAAGTCCTTTAGGAGATATGCCAATCTTTTTTATTTCCTCCACAGTCTTCCTGGCTTTCTGTGAATGCAATTATATGAACAAATAAAATGGCTTGACTAAATTCCCCTACGTGGCAAGCCCCTTTCTGCTGATAAAGCTACTTGTGTGTGCCATAATTAAATGAGAATCTTAATATTTAACTAAACGTAATAGGCTGTTGCTTTGGCACTTTTGTGGGGGCTGTGGTTTCAATAGAGATGAGCCAGGCTTTTCAGAAGCTGGGTGAATAGTCATTGAACCAATACACTATTGCTGAAAGATCTGTGAAATGTATTATCAGGGAAGGGCATGTTTTTGTGCTGTGCCTGCCTATTCAGCAGAGATGGGCAATGAAAGCTTGATCATCAGGTACATAAGTATTATTTGGAGGAGCTGAGCTTACACATCCATTTAGTGGTGTGTCTCTAAAGGAAGGTTACAGTCAATGAAACACATAATTTGGTGCAAACCCCTCAAATACTCCTTGGGTTCACATGGTAGAGGTGGTGCCCTGGTTCCTTCTGGTTCAAACCCAGCCTGACGTCCCTGATGCCATGGGGATGAGCACTGCAACAGCATCCCCAGACCAGGATTCACTGCCACCACTGTGGGATCCCCCAAGCCCTTGAATCTCTCCTCCATGGTGCTCAGGATCCTCAGCATCACCAGGAGAAATTTCCCACCACTTAGGATATACAACATGAAACATCTCTTAAAGATGAGCCCTTTTCATACCAGCTGGGAAGGATTTGGTCTTTCTAATGTTGAAGGCGGCTGCTTTTTCTAAAGGAGGTTCAGAGTTAATGGGCAGATGTGGGATATAAAGGTTAAATCCTAGGAAGGAGGAAGGAACCCTCTATTTCAGTCCTTGGATAAGCCACACAAGTAAAATGAACTCTTTTTGAAACACTCTGAAAGGCAAAACTGCTCCAAAACCTGACATTATATATATATATATATAAAAAACCTGCAGGGTTATATGATCTTTGTTCACTCTTCCCTCCTCATGGTTTTTCTTCACATAAATTTTCTTTTGTGTAGCATAGTCCATGGTCCACTCCATAGTCTCCTCCTTTTCTGCATTTATGATGTGTAACTTGAGCACAGACTTGAGGACTTCTTCGTTTGATCTCTAGCTTTACATGGCAGGTAGATGTCTGCCTGGGACCCATAGCACGAACTCAACACAGGTGGTCACATTCCCATTTGATGTAAATCAGCTGGATGTCACTGATTTCAGGAATATAGCTTTTTGCCAATGCAGAACCTGGAAGGGGTTTCCAAGACTTAACCGAGTTAGATGTCTGTGAGGACTAGAAGGAAATTCTTTCATAAGGAAAATTATGTTACAAATATTAAGGTGGGTATAAAATGTTAAAGTGCATTTTCACAAACAATGCCAAAAGTTTTTGTGATCTGTCCTTCTTCTTTCAGAAATTTTTGAGCTGGAGGTAAATGAAAATGTGCAGCTGACTGTAAATGACAGGCAAATGCCTAAGGTAGAATACATGGAAATCAAGATAGACGATTACAGTAAGTAGCACCTTTCCTCTCTCTTATTTTTCTTTTCTCACTGCTATTGCTGTGAAATGATACAGTCATCTTGCCTAGACTGGCAGGAGGGAAAATGACTTTGGCTCTCAATAAACTCACGCAGTTTGCAAAGCACCCTCTTAGGATGTGCTACCCAAGGAGGTTATTACAGAGACAGGGTTTGATGAGAAGGTAGCTGAAGAAAGGTAAAATGATAGGGTTGAGGTGGGGGGTTTTTGCTTTTAAGATTTTTCTTTGTACAGAAAAAGCCACTTTGGGAAATGACACAGTGTGGTGTCCCCACTGCTCAGGGAATTTGCCCTTGCTGGACTGTCGTATTATTTGAGATGGGTTTGAAGTGGGATGCTGTATGTGCTTACATATGTGCTTATAGCTGTGACTGCCTGTTGGTATCCAATACTGAACTGCAGTGAATGGAGACGACTCATCAACGACTGCCCATAGCTGTCATTCACCATTCTTTGAGAAAGCCATAGCATTTTACAGGGTTGGGAAAAAACAGCTTTATGAGAAAAGCCAAAAGAGATTTCACCTGAAGTAAAGAAGGCAGAAACTTGGAACAGTTTATATCCACAGCTGGTGTATTATGTGTCCCACTTGTGTAATCATTCCCCACATATCTATAGGCCAAAGAGGACAAAGACAGAGAAAAGCCTAATAGCAAACAGACAAAGTGTAAGCATTTTCTGCCTGTCTCTGCAGTTGTACCTGAAACACCCTGAAAAGCATCTCCTCTGGCTGTATGCAGATATCTTACCTATGTATGGAAAATTCATATAATCAGAGTTGTGCAATGCCTCCCAAAATCCCAGTTTGTGTGTGTGGTGGTGACTTTAAAAAACAAAACAAAACAAAACAAAACAAAACAAAACAAAACAACCTCAAAGCACCTGGGTTCAAAGTATGACCCATAAAATTTCTCATGCCAGAAAGGAGCATACCTCTCAGATCAGATGCAGTGAAATAAAAGCAGTGAGGTGTGATGGATGGCAGGGTACTAATTTTGACCGTTACCAGGTGTTATAAAAATGTGAAGGCTGAGACACAGTTGCCATTTGAAAAGGATCATAATGACCCTAACATGTTCTGCTTGCCACATGGACATTGGGAACATAACCAGTGCATGAAATAACGAGAACAGTGCATTTCCAGACCTTACGGACAGGAAAAGATGAGGAAAGAGCCTGTCATAAAGATCACGCCTTTCCCTGTGAGCCAATTCCTAGTGGCACTGGCAGCTTGATGCTAAATTTCTTAACTGTAGATATCATTGAAATGTAATTCTGCTCATTTAACCAAACTTTTATACGTGTGTGTAGTAAATACAAGCTGGCCACAGCCATGGGACTATTCTTCTGTGCCCTCCCTGTATTTTCAAGGCTCTGGAGCTTGGGAGCACTGCACATAGCACTTAGTTATATTTAAAGTCAAGCAATGGCCTTTTTGGTTGTCCCTGGGCCATTGATCCAATTTACAGCTATTAGCATTCAGATGGAATAACTAATTAGGCTGAGTGTCAGACAATGATTGCAAAGCAAACCACTTAAACCACATGGTTAATCTGTTTATTAATCTACTGAATATGCTCCTAATACCGTTTTAATTGCTGGGCCTTTATTAATCTGGATTGTAGTTAACATTTTAAAAATAAAGTTTCTCTCACTAATGGCAAAAGCATTAGTATGGCAGTGTTTTTAGCCATCGATAGGAAGCCATAGGAAGCAGTTAAATGAAGCTTTGATGAGCACTTACTGGTTCAACATCAGTATAATGACATGGGCTTCAGCACAGTTACCTCCTGTTTTACAGCAAAATTAAACCCTCTAGAAGCTAGGATTAAAATACATGTTTCTCTATCTGTCTTCACACCATTATGGCAAAATAATCCTATTCTCTCCCCCAGCCACCGTACTTAATTGGGTTTTAAATTATCATTTTCATTGCCAATTTTCCCCCTCCTCTGCTGCCCTGAAATATTGATTTCTGGCTGTGTCACTCATCCAGCTGCCAAAAAGGAAAATTATAGCTATTGCCAGATGTTAATTGAATGCTGTAAAAGTGATGCATGACTGAGCAGCTCGCGCCGTACTCCCGATTTACATTTCTTGTCACCTCGGCTATCATAATATGGGTCTTGTCTTTGACAACATCTGTGTTCCTAAGGTGTTATTTACCAGTGAATCTGATGAAATGCCTTTGTGTTCTTGCTCATAAGTGGCCAGAACACCAGAAAAATCTATTAGATTTATGTCAGCGTTCCCACTGAAGACATGCTGTTATTTGGGTTTTTTGCCTAGAATTGCCAATGCAGATCCTAAAGCCAGCGACGTTTTCGGACACCGCACACTACCCCTTGCTTTTGGTTGTGTAAGTTCTCGCTTGTCCTTTCTTCCTGTTCACATTTTTAGGGCAGCATGGAAACCTCATCCATGATCAGAGCCTTTTTAAGATTTTCTTTGTGCACTAAATATCAGGCTGCTTTAGCACCTAAGTCCAGTACGTTGGTCCCTGCCCCCTGTCCCACCTCAGAGTTGGGAAAGGCTCATAGGTCCTTTCTCTCCTGTGTTTGAGACAAGGGTTTCAGCTCCCAGGATGGTGTCCTGGTGAAATCCTGCAGAGTGAAATGTAGGATTTTGGAAAGTTGTTCTATGTACACTTGCAATTCAGTAATTTTGAGGGCAGAAAGAGGAAGGAGGGGAATGAAAGATGGATGTTGACTTTCTGTCTCACTGCTTAGAGTACTCACTCTGCATTTAACAGATAGTTTAGAATGGGATGCAGTCAGAATTACTAGAGCTTAAATTTTAGACATCTTCATGCAACGGTCCTTCCTGTGTGAAAGTTGGTGTTTTCTGAAGTGACAATAAAGGGAGAGCTAGAAACCTTTGAAGATCTCCACGATGTTAGCATTTATATTAGCTAGGTAGGATTTTCTTCTGGCAGACGTAGCAGATGGGTATTTCTTTATGCAACGTTTGGTAATAATATTGAACACCACTGAGGTTTTTGTCTGGAAATTTTGAAAGAATCTGGGGGAGGGAAGTCACTGACCTTGGAAGAGCTTGCTTAGCCCTGGCTGCATCCCACTGCATCGCTTGCTCCATGCCAGGTAACAACCCCATGAGAGACAGAAGCCTCATGTAGGAGTGATGAATGCCTGAACACCGCCCTGCACACCCCTCCATGAAGGACAAAAACACTGCAACAAGCATGTCATTACATCACAAAATTACTGCAGAGAAAATGTTCTTCATTATACAAGTGCTTGAGGAAGATTGGTACTCATCAAGCTAACAGCACTTGATTAGGCTGCCTCTGAAGCTGGATGTGCCTGGGTCTCGCCTGAATAAATGCAAATGACAGAAGTCGCATGCACATTAAAATCCTGCAGTGAGTTGCCTGATGTCTCTGAGAACCCCAAAAAGGAAAAGAAATAGATGGAAATGCCAGTGGCTCTACAGTAATCCCAGTCCTAAAATATTACTTATCATCATTCCTTGATCTTTTTCGAGCTGTCTGGCTGAAACAGGGTCAATATTTCTCAAGACAGTTCCCCTGTGCAGGGTCAGGCCCTAAGCAGAAGGGTGAAGATGGAGTCTTGCCCACCCCTTCCCCTTCCCTGCCAATTTGAGGGCAAACTGAGCATTTTTAAGCTGTTAGTTTTATCATTTTAAAAGTATTCTTATGCTAAGCAATGGTGACAGAAGTGATTGATGGCTCCATCTACAGCTGTTCTGGAGGAGCCTGTGGGAGAGAGAAGGTCTGGGCTGGGTGAATAGGGGCAGTAAACGAAACCCAAATGCTTGCCAGGAGGTTTGATGTCTTCAAGCTTCATCCAACGTGTTTTGGCAGTGCCAGCATGCCCAAAGCCAGGCTTCTCACAGAAGCTCCTCCACCAGAAAAAAACCTGTAGAAAATAGCTATAGATTAGAGCAGGCATAAATGGGGAAAAGTCAACTGACCTCTGCATCGCTGCCCTGGTTTACTCCCAGGAGGAATCCTTCCCTGTTAGTGATGCGCTTGCTAGGTTAGTTCAAAGCTCACTGCATCAGTAGCTGCTGTGCAAGGAGGGAGGCAGAAGCCAGCCTGCAGCCTTCACCCCAGCCTCAAAACCCATCCCACACAACCCACCTGCTCATCATCATTGCAGACACTGGTGTCCCCTTCTTTACAATGCATGAGGGAGCTGCTGGTCCCCATTGCCATAGCAAGCTCACAGCTCTGGGGAGGGCGTTTGGCTGGTGCTTGGTGCCTGTGCCTGTGCTTGATGCCTGTTTCTGTTTCAGAGATGGGACACCTGGCAGCCAGATCGTAACAGAGAGATTTGAGGTGACGTGGGAAAGCGTCATGGTCAGCTCTCACAACGCCATCGTGCTGAAGTTCGACGGCCGCGGGAGTGGCTTCCAAGGCACTAAGCTATTGCACGAGGTGAAGAGGAGACTGGGCCTTTTGGAAGAGAAGGACCAGTTGGAAGCTGTCCGGTGAATGACACTGTTATTGAAGAAATTAATTCATTGATGATAACTAACCCAAGGCTGTCATTAGTCCTGGTTCCTTTAATGGTGTGTAGGGTAGTGTGAGTAGATGGGTGGGAAGGACAACAGTCATACAGCTGTGGCCAAGCGATGGCATCTGAGAGAGAGCTCATGCCAGCCAGTGCAGAGGGAGAAAAACAAACCTTAAACAGAGCTAAATTAGAGCACACTTAACTGTATCACATGTTCAAAGCCTATTTATTTTTAGCTCTGTACAGTCATCCAGCTACAAACAAGTAAGCTTGAATATCAGCTCCTAGATTAATTTTTTGCTGGCCTGGAAGTTGGAAAAATTACATCTTTAAACTCCTAAACTGCAAAAAAACAGTAAAAAACCCTAAATATCAAGTCCTGTCATATTGTTAGATTTATTCTGCACATAATCGTGCTAAAAACACTATCAGAGTACTGTAATAGCATCAGCTTTATTATGGCTTTCAGAGGTAGTGCAGGTTATTTGCTGCCATTTCTTGGTCAAATCCAACATAACAGGTTGCAAGATTAAATCGAGCAGAGACTCATGTGAAAGCAGCGTGTAGCAGCATGCATTTAGATCGTCAACATCATTTTTCTGCAGCCACTTCAAATTCAGGCTGGTAAAAATCACACTATGTTTGCTGTATCTAAGGGAAAAATATTTTTAACCCGTTGTTTCTCCTCTCTCATGTTCCAGGACAATGCTGAAGGAGCATTACATTGATAAAATGCGAGTCGGTGTGTTTGGGAAGGTAACGTTTTCCCGTTGTTCCTCTGTGCTGTTCTAGTTGGCTGATGTGGCTAAGCAGCTGAGCTAAATCCTGATTTATCAAATATGTCAGTGATGACTTCTTTATTATTATTTATATATGAGATAGACTGCTTCTTGCTTAGAGATGTTGAAGATTAAAACTTTCATTTTATCAATGTATTCATCAATGCTGGGGATTCTTTTTAAATTTACTTCCAAGTACAGAAAGTGTCTATTTGTCAGAAAATGTTGTCAGATAATTAATTATTTTTTCCCCTTGCAAACTTTTGTTTTGTTTTTATCTTGTCCCTTAAGGCCTATGGGGATGTGGGTAGATCTAACTTGTGTCTTACAAATGTATAACAATATTGATTTCTGAGGCTGATTCACACCACAATGTGTGCCCGGCTGGGAAACATCAATTGCGATGTACACACGGTTTGAAATGAGAATGGGGCTGCGAGGAGAAATTGTTTATTGTGGAAGAGACAGGCTCAGAGCGGGCGAAGAGAGATGTACGTACAGCAGCATCTCTGCAGGGAATTGTTAACAGCCTGGTGACAGGCGCTGGAGTTGTGATGTCCATTTTAAGTAAGGAAAGACTGGGGTAATATTTTGGAGAGGTAACATACCTGATCCAAGCCACAGCTGTAGCGTGGGATGAAAAGAGGCGAGCTCTTGGGCACACAACCCTCCTGCCTTCAGGAGAGTGCAACAAGCGTAGAACTCATTTCAGCCACATCTGCCAAAGCCAGGGAGATGTCCCTTGTTTTGTGTTTTTTCAGAACAAGGTATTAAGGGCTTTGTAGTGACTGAGAGTTTGCTGCAAGGTCTCAGCTGCCCTGTTTCTGTACCCCAAATCAGCAGTGCTTCACAGCAGGATGGCTGATGCCTCTGCCCTGTTTGTGTTCCAGGATTACGGTGGCTACCTGAGCACTTACATGCTTCCAGCCGGTGAAGAGAACCAGGTGTTCGCCTGTGGAGCTGCTCTTTCTCCGCTGACAGACTTCAAACTATATGGTAAACCCCATCCCCGAGCCCATAGAACCTTTTGCTGACCACAAATGTTATTTCTGCCCCAACCTTTCCCAGTTATCTTGTCTTTCTTCCCCAAGATCCTGCCTGTTTTGTATTGTGTGTCTTCTTAGGACTAGCTATAAAACCTTTTTTCCCCCCTCAAGAGCAATTTTGCTGGCACTAGTGGGACCAGCCATGGTGGTCAGGGTAATCACATAACTTTTATTATTATCTTCTTTTAAATAATGGAGAATTTGCCCTAAACCCCTCCAGCCTTTGACACCAGCCTGTGCGACTGTCTTGAATGTGCTCCTTTGTTGCCTGAACCACCCGTCCACAGGAGCTGTGGTCCAGCCTGCCTGCCTCATCCTCTCTCTGATGGCAATACTTCACTGCACATGACGGTCCTTTCTCTCAGGGACACCAATTCCCTTGGCACTTAGTGCCAGTGAAAATCAGCAGACTGCCATGAAAGTCAGTGGTGTTAAGCCAGCCTTCAAGTCCTGTACAGTTGTCCCTGAGACCAATGAGAACTTGCAGTAGAGTGTTGGTGGAAACTGCCCCATGTGAAAGGAGAAAGGGACACAGCACGATAGTGCTCTTCTCTTCTCATATCTTGGTTGCATTAAGGACAAAAGAAGGCTCTTCTGTGGCTTATTTAGAAACCATAAATACGTGGTGATGATGAAAGGCTGTAGTATTGTACATATTTTTAGTGCATTTTCATAAAATTTAGAAATATATCCTATGTAACTAAGGCAATGTTAGAAAATAAGATCTTTTTTAGCATTTGCAATATTTGCCTGAGAAGCACCAGCGTACTCACTTATGACTAATAGAAATGTTTCTTTTTTTTCTTTTCAAGCTTCAGCCTTTTCCGAAAGATACTTGGGCTTGCATGGGATTGATAACAGAGCATACGAGGTAACAGCATGGACACTGCATTGCCCTGATAAAATGTGAACAGGGTTTTAACTCTTCCTCAATGCATTCTCTTTTGGGAAGAGAGAAAGGATACACAGGACGGATTCACTAGTAAAACTCTGTATCTAAAAGGCAGTAAGGTATCCTTAAGCTTAAGCTTACTGCTTTTGTTGCCTTAATAGCAATGATGGATATGTTTTTTATTGATTGCTTTTCGTGTCTGCCTCTCTAAATTGGGTAAGTACAGTTATTCCAGTTTGACAGATTGAAAGAGCTGAGGCTGAGTGACTCAGATGTGCCCAAGTGGACACAATGTCATGACCTCCTTTGAAGTTCAACCCAATGGCCTTACCACTTTGATTCTCTCTGAATACAATTTTTGACCCAAAGTCAAGTGAAGCTCAGTTTCTCTTGGCTTTTTCAGTGTAAGCACAGAAGCAATATTTCAGGTAGGCAGAGCTCTGTGCCAGAGTCGAGCAGGATGTGGAAAAGAACATTGTTAAGCCTCCTAAGCCTTGTCTTTAGCTAGAAGACTTGAAGGCAACAAAGGTTTGAAATAATTTTCTTACAGACAAGGCAGGTAGCACCTTGTGCCCCTGCAGTAGAAGCTTTTTCTGGCTATCTAAATATTGAGTTCATTGTCTCTCAGATGTCACACTCATTATCTCTAGATCATTGCCAGCTCTTTTAGTCCTTTTAGAAATTTGAAGTCAGGTCAGTAGAGATGAAAGCAAGGGAAAATATTCCAGAAATGAGAGCTTTGTATTCCCATGTGCTCTTTGTGTGTTGAAGAGCTGACCTAAGCTAACAGTGGTACTTTTGGTTGACTTGAGATTAACTTCTAGGAAGAGCACCTGAGCTCTCTGCAGAGCGTGGCACTGTTGTGGGTACAGACCCTAACTGATACACATCTCTTACGCACAACAGTTGAACTATGAATTCCTTAGGGAGAAGAACTGTTCCTAACCCATGGAGCAGACATGAACTTTATGAAGGTCACATAGTTCAAGACTTGATGTAGACTCCAAAAAAGCTGCATTGTCCTGTGGTAGGTTACAACTGAGGAAGCAGAAAGAGAAATACAGGGTGAGAGCAGAGTGCAAGATACATTGCATACACCATCACAAGAATTAAGCATCGCAGCAATCTGAGGATGAGAGAACTTGTTAATGAAGTCCAGCAATAGAGGGAATATCAGAGGGCACCCTTGCAAAAATTGGACTTTCCAAGTCCATACAGAGCATGGAGCTGCAAGAAAGCCAGAACAGGCCTGTATCCACCAAAATTTCCCAAAACATGCCTCTAGGACCAAGGAAATACACAGGGCCACTTTTAATGTTCACGGTTGCTTTATCTTTTAATTGAGGAGAGATACGCATAATATGTCATTTAAAAAGACAGTGACTATATATTAATAATACATGCCAGTGTTTTTAGCCAGCTAATTTGACTTCCATAGCCAGGGATGGAAGGTCCTGTTGCTGCTGGAGATGCATTTGTCTGTCTTCTATGGAAGCCACATAAGACAGTGGGAAGATAAAAAGACAGGACTGATTCAAGGGTGTCTTAACTGAAAAATACACAAAAGCTAGGGCACATGCATTTAAACAGTGAAGGAAACATAAATTTGAGACAGCTATTCTTCCCTAGCTCCCTATAAAGCAGTAACATCTGAGATTTGAGATGTTCATTCCTTTTGCCACTCCAAGACTTTTCTGGAGTCTCCCTGAGACTTGTATTCTTCTGAACAATGCAGCAAAAAGTGGAAAAGACCTTCATTTCTCTTACCCAGTACCATTTGTGGTCAGAGTCACTCAGATTTGTATTTCCCCTGCGCAACTGAAAGATGTGGAGGGGGCAAAGGCATTCTCAGCAGTGGATGCTTGAATCTAGTATCAGAACCTCCCTTGGCCTGTCAAAGCTCACTGAGGTTGGCTTTCAAACCGTAGCAAAGTCACTTCAGCTCTCTGAAGAGTTCTTAGGCATAGGCACCTGGGCATGCTTTTCATCAGTGTTTTGTATTCACTGGAAATTCACTTTGACATTTTCCATGTGTTCTGCAGTTCAGGCTTTTGGTGAACATTATCAGAACAGACGAGGGTCTCTGACCTCTTCCTGCTGCTGATACTGAGCCTGGAAGGACAGGGTGGGGGGTCTATTTTGCCTCCAGACTGATTCAAGTAGCCAAGAGAATATGCTGTGCTGGTGTCTGCTTGTTATCCTCATGATGAAGTTTCTAATGGAATTAAGTGTTTCTATTTTCTCCATATAAATTGCTTATTTCTAGAAAGATTTTTAATCTTACTCTACCTTTACCTTCACAGATCACCAAATTAGCACACAGAGTCTCATTACTGAAGGAACAGACATTTTTGATCATTCATGCTACTGCTGATGGTAAGTTAGCCCATCATTTGAGCTCATTATGTGTTTGGGATGGCTTTGATTTTTCTTAATTAAATTTGCCTCCTTAATGATTGTAATCTGTTTTTACAGAAAAAATCCATTTCCAGCATACTGCGGACCTTATCACACACCTAATTAGGGCAAAGGCTAATTACAGCTTGCAGGTACAGTATGGGTTTCCTTTTTTACATATTTGAACAGTTATTTCCTAGTTTGACCTCAAACTGCTGTTATGAACCAAGCTTTGAAAAGTCATTTGCAAACACAGCCTGGCAGTAGAAATATCACCAGTGCATAATGTGCTCCTATGTACTCTCATGCTTATTTGATACCACTATTTTGGTTTGGAGAGTTGCAGAACAGTTATTAAATGACAGTAAATTTGATTTTGAGAGACATCTCTCTAAGGAATCAATGACTGTTGACTTTCTTTGGGAACAACAGGCCAAATTCAGGATGAATTACAGGGAAACAGGGATCTAAGTTAGATCAACCAGAAAAGTTAAGGAGGGAATCACAGAATCACAGAATATTAGGAGTTGGAAGGGACCTCGAAAGATCATCCAGTCCAACCCCTGCCAGAGCAGGATCACCCAGACCAGGTCACACAGGAACGCATCCAGGCGGGTCTTGAATGTCTCCAGAGAAGGAGACTCCACAACCTCTCTGGGCAGCCTGGGCCAGTGCTCTGTCACCCTTACAGTATAAAAGAAATGCCATTTAAATCTGTCATCCCACTGTGAGCAACATGCTCTGGTCTAGAAAGCTCCTCTTTCCACTGAATTACATCTCTGATTTGCTGAATGACCTATGTCCAAGCCATTAAAGCTTCCAAAATTAACCCATCCACTTGCCATGGTCCCTACCCTCTGCTAAATCCCAAGCCACATCCAGGAGAGTGCAACTAGCCCAGACTTGATCCATGCCTGGGACAATGCTACAGCTCACAGTGTAGATGGTTGTGTTGCAGTGCCCAAGTCCTACTAACACTCGATTTACTGAATACCAGCTCCCTCTGGCTGCATTTCTGCAGAGCTTCATGTGATGTGTTTGCTCACTCCATCATGCTCCAAAGGCAGATAGGATGGAGCAACAACGCTGGAGATAAGCAGTGAGGCCTGGATTTGGTCAACGCTACAACTGAGACATCCCTGCACATTTCTCAGAGCAGAAGCATTGGTACTTTGGAGCTTGAAGGCACCAATGGGCTTGACGCACCTCCAAGATTAGTTAAGGGTTGAATGGAGGGATGAGGGATCTACATCTTGGATCGAGATCCTCAGAGCAGCAGTGAGACAGCTCAGTCCTGCCTGCAAGTATCTAGCCCTAGAAATCCATTTTTTCCCTTTCAGTACCACAGTCTAGAAAACCCTTCAACATGTGCAGAAGTTACCTGTTTCATTAAAATGGAAAGTCTTGTTTAAAGTGTTTTATTTCTAGCTTCCCACTTTGTTCTTTAAAGCCCTTGTTTTTGTCAGTTAACCCTAATGCCATTTCTCTACACAGACTTGCCCTGGGTTTTTTCAGTTTTCTCAGAGGCAGGCACCGTAATTTGTAAGTGTGATCTGGTCCTGAAACTTTAAGTTCCTAACAGTCTGAATTTCCCTGTTTCTTTGCAGATTTACCCTGATGAAAGCCATTACTTCAGCAACGCAGCATTGGAGCAGCATTTATACAACTCCATCGTCAACTTCTTTGTGGCGTGTTTCCAAGTTCAGGACAAACTCCCAATAGCCCCACTGAAAGAGGAGGAGGACGATGATTAACCCTACTTGTCCGTGCTAAGCACAAAGCAGATGTCTCTAACAATATGCAACTGGATCATTTTCCTGAAGAAAGAGATGTTACGTTGTTAGCATGTATTTAAAGAAAACTGAAAGCAGCTCATCTGCTTTACTTGACAGCAACTCCTTCCTAAATGGAAGAACAATAAGCATGGTGAACTCAGCAGAAACTGCTGTCTGAAATTAATCCATCACAACCAACATCTTCTTTTCTTTCTTTTAATTTTTATTTCTTTGGGTTTTTTGTTTGCCACAAAGTGACTTCTGGTGTGAAAGTGGCAAGACACTGGACTTGAAGGAACACCCCAAGAAACCGCTTTGAGGACTGAAAGATTTAATGTCTCTTTGTATTCAAGCAATCAAGCAGTAGCAGTGAAATCCGTCATCCATATTAAGGTTACTATAGTTAGCCTCACACTGTGTCAGAAAAAATCTAACCTAATACATGGAAAAAATTATAGCACAATTATTTTAATAGATACTGATTCATACATATTTTCCTGCTCTTTCCCATGTTCAGAAAATTTCTCATTGCTACAGGACACACAAATTCAATTGTACAAAATATCACTATAGTTACACTGATCTTTACCTTCCTGTGATTATTTCTTAATTTTGTATAACTTTTGCTTCTGTTTTCCTTCGGTCTCATGCTTACCTTATTAGCTTCTCAGCTTGTTCTGGATGGGGAAAAAAACATACACTGAATTAACCAATTCACTTAGGGTTCTAAAGAGGCAATGGGGGTCAGGGTATCCAAACACTGAAAAAATCTATTAGAATAAAGCAAAGGAAATCTCACTCTCATGTTCCTGGCATAGCCTTTGCCTGCAAGATTGAGTATTTTCTTTGGTAGCCTTTAAAAATTTGCACATAAATAAAGCTAAATCAGCTTAACATTGAGATATTTTTATTGTACTATAGAAAGATATGTGATGATCACGATTATTCTGTTTTTCTTCCTTTAGTGCTGGAACAGTTGGTTGGCAGCCTGTTGGGGAACAGCTAGATGAGGCTATGGTAGCAGGAATTTGTACCAGATACTTTGCAGATCATCTCATAAAGCTCTTTAAACAGAACCAATGTGCAGAGATTTATCGCGCATGCTGTCTGCAGCTTAGTTTTATTCCAGGTCGATGATTAGCACATTGCAAACACATTTAATTATCTCTTCTGCTCACACTAGTTTTGCCAAGCATAAAAGAAAAAAAAAGTGTTTTTGCTTTAAGATGTCTAACATTTTATTTTATCAGTGCAAAGCAGCTTTTAAAACTTCTTGTGAAAACATTGAACTCTCAGAAAGAAACCCAACCTTCATTCACTTCCACTTACTGCGTTACAAGAATTTTGACTAGTGTCGCTCCTTGTAAAATATTCTGACCAAATGTACAGCCGGTATTAATACTGTATATTTCATTTTGTTGTATATAAAGGAATGTAAGTCAGTTATTCGTCAGGTCCCCGATCCAATAATAGTCTTGTGTTCAGCATGCATGCGATAACACTTCTTTGCTGATCAGGACTCTTTAGAAGTACTAGCTCGGAAATATAACAATTAATGTAATTTCTTTTCTTGTTTTGACAGCTTGAATGTCAATGCCAGTTTCTACTTTTTACATAGTACTGTGGGTAAACTCACATCCTGACAGCAATGATGATGTTTCCATTGTGTTCTTTAGTGTGTCTTTTTAATTATCATTATTTTAAGCTTTGAATGTTGGTTGTACTTTGACCATCATGAAAAATATATTGATAAACCACAAAAATTACCTAGTTTGGTTTTGATTATCTTCTTTAATTTACAGTGCATCGACTTTGCGTGACCAAGAACTATGCTATAAATCTGCTTTATCCGGCAAAACGCCAAATAGACAATAAGAATGCTGCGTCCAGATTTTGCTACACCGAACAGGCTCAAAAGCCTGAAATGAACTTGACCCAAGAAATGTAAAAATCTGCTCTGTCCACAATCTTTTGTAGAAAGAACTTTAGGATGTGGCATGGTAGTGTTTGTTCATTCACGGAATAAAACATTATTTTACCACCCTGGTTGCCACTTCTGTTATTTAACGTTAAGTACTTAAATAAACATTGGGTTGCTGGAAGTGCTATTCCTGCTTGAACTGAGCCCAAACTTGAGATCAGATGTGGTTCAGTGCAGATCAGAAAAATGAACGTATCTTTATAAATAAATACGTATTGCCATTTAGTCTGCCTGTGACCTTGGTAAGTGGTGTCACCACAGTAAGTGGTGGCTGCTTTTCAGGAAAATATGAAGTAGCACAAAAATGGGTTCAGTCCCAAAGTAGCAGCTCATGAGAAGACCTTTGCCAGTCTCTAGTATTTAGTGAACATGTAGTTGTCGTCCCTTTCCTCCTGCTGCCCCTGCTGCTGGTGTACCTGTGACCTGGCTTCCCGAGGGCACGAGCCAGGAACAACAGCTTGGGCCAAGTGATTTTTTGCTATTTCATGCGTTGTGCCTCTTCCCAGAAGTTGCTTTTGGGTTATGAATGCACTAAAACTTACTGGGTCTGCTACAGCAGAATTTTTTGCAAGTGATTCTCCATCAGGAAAGGGGCAAGAGAAGGAGGGAGTCATCCCACCTGAATTTAGATATTTGTTTCCCTTCAGGCCAAGAGAGCCATATACCTCCCAGGGCCACACTCAGACATCGCCCTCGAACGAGTGGCAGCTTTTCTGCATGCACATTTCACTCTGTTGGCTGTGGGGATGGGAGTGACTATCTCAGACTGAGACAGCAAGGGGATGGGCTGGGGCCATCCCCAGCTGTTCCCTGTAACAGCACTTTTCAAGATCAACTGGATGTTCCCACACCTTCTTTATACCTGGATAGGAACCTTTTCATTTCCTAGGAATTTCCTAGGAATATGGAGATTTTTACTCAAGTTAGAAATCCCGGCTATGACTGTACCCTTCAATACATTGTCTGCTTCACCTCAAACAATAACTTCTGGAAAGATTTAAATTGCACAAACATCTGTGGCTCTAGGTCTAATAAATACACAAAAGACCTTTTAACCTTAAGAGACTAAATCCTGCAGCAAGACTGTGATGCCAAGCAGCCACTCAGCAGTACGGGGATGACAAGGATGCTTTCCAATAGCACCGTGCTGACTTGCTGCATCTCTTCAGTGTCCAGGATGATGTCCCATCAGCTGATGCCAACTTTTCTGAGCTGAATTCAGAGTACTATTTCATAGCAAAACCAAGAAATGATGGTGGATTCTTACTCTAATCTTTGTTGCCAGAAAAATCAGGAGTCAAGAAGTTTTAGTACTGGTTCAGGGCAGGAAGACTGCACTAGTACAGAGTAGCTTTGCTGTTACTTTGCTTAATTACCTAAATGTGATCAATGGTTTTTTTATTGTTGAAACAAGTCAAGCTCATACTCTCGATGAACTGGCATTTCTGGATGCTGTAATGTTCAAGTGTGGCATCCCAAAGCGGAAGAGAACTAATGAGCAGTGCCCTACTAATTCAAAAGGAAACCACAGAGGGAAACATGAGGCGTTGCTGGTAGCTAATTAACAAAGGCAGGCAGCCAGCCATGTTTGTAATTGTCTATGGGTTCAGGCATGGAGCATATAAACTCATCTGAGCTCTGCCCACAAACTCATTTCTATGCTGCAACTCTGAAGGGTAGGAAGGGAAATAAAAGAGCGAAGGAGAAAGGATATGGTGAGGTACTCACAACACCTTTCCCATGGAAAGACCAGTGGAGAGTGCTGTTAGCAATGGGGAGAAATGAGCGGGACAGACCAAAGGAACAAGGCTGGTGCTGGTACCATCATGGAGCTGTGATGGTTCCTGGAGAGGTTTCTTGTACAGCTTTTGCTCTGGTGATCATGTTGTTTCTCCAAAGCTCACTCAGCTTGGCAGTGGTAAGGCGCAGGATGTTTTAATTTTGCATATCACGTTGTAAGACACATCTCCCCGCAGTCCTTCCTGGGGCTGTGGAGGAGCTGCCAGACATGCCTCAGTCAGGGCTGGGGTGAGGACACTTTCTCACTCACCCTGGGCTAATGCTGGCTCTCCTTGGTTCTCACTGTTCCCTGGACTTCTTATGTGCTTTCCCTTTGCAAAAAGCAAAAGTGGAAATGGTAAAAAAAAAACACCTCAAGATCTCAGTTGCCAGTTCCTTAATCACTGCTGCTTACTGAGTCGGCTGTTTGCTTATTTCTGTTTTGCTCTCCTAACTTAGGCTCCAGGCTGGGGGCTCAGAGCACAGCTAAGGGCACTTGATAAGACCTGTCTTCTGTACCCACTTCATCCTTTCATCTTCTCCCCATTTGGTGTGGTTACAGTCTGAAAGCAAACCCAGAACCCCTTTGGAAACTAGGAAGAGACAAATACAAAATCATCACGGTGAACACTCCCAATAAGCCATAACCAAAATTAATTCTCTGTTTTAATAGCTAATCCATGCTTGGCCAGCATCCTTTGCTTCATGCTTATTCTTTTGCTGGGGGAGCAGGTCTCCAACCCCTTCCAGACTTGGACCTGCCCTAGGGTGGGGGAACCAGCTTCTCCCCTTTCTGCAGATGAATGCAGGATCACCCTCCCAGTGTGGTCTCGGGTCCATTATTTGGTCACAATAATCAATGTTCTTCATAAGCATCAACTTCTGCTACAGCAGTTGTGTTGCCAGCAGCTGAGAAGGGGAAGATTCAGAAATTCTTTGTAAAATGGATTTTTTTCTTTTTTTTCTTTTTTTTTTTGCTTCAAGACATTCATTAATAGCCTCATATTAAATGAAACTACATTCTGCCTTCTCTCTGGGATAACAGTTTTAATCAAAATGTCCATTTCCAAGACCCAGAGAGAAGAAGGGTAAAAAGCAAATATAGATGTAACAAGGCCGCAGGACAGCACAAAAGTAAACCATATCTCAGTATTCCTGTGGAACAGCAAGGTTTCATTTCAATGTTTTTTTTCTTTCCTTCATTATAAGTGTACCTTTTGGGTCATTTTAAAGCAACAGACAACTTTTGAACTTTTGAACAGGATACCGGAACACACAAATCAGGATCAGAGGCAGAAGAACCAGCAGGGTTCTGCTCAGA